ATAAGTCTGGGTATGTTGTATATTCATTTTCATTGAATTCTAGAAAGTATTTATTTCTGTCTTGACTCATTTATCACTCCGTAGTGAGTTGTCCAGTTTCTATGAATTTGTAAGCTTTCTGTTGTTTCTGTTGCTGTTGATATTCAGCTTTAATCCATGTAGTCTTATAGGATGCAGGATGTTTTTTCAGTTTTCTTATGTCTATTGAGACTTGCTTTGCATGTTGTCAATTTGGGGGGAAAGTTCTGTGAGGTACTGAGAAGAAGGTATGTTCTTTTGTGTTTGAGTTGAATGTTCTGTAAATATCTGTTAGGTTCATTTGGTTTATAACATCAGTTAGCTCCAACATTTCTCTGACTAGTTTTTGTCTGGATGACTTGTCCATTGGTGAGAGTGGGGGTATTAATGTCTACTACTCTCCGTGTGTGAGGATCAGTGTGTGGTTTAAGCTGTAATAGTTTTTCTTTTACAAACACTTTGTATTTGAGGCATAGATGTTAAGAATTGCAATATTATCTTGGTGGATGTTTCCTTTTATGAATATGTAGTGTCATTCCCCAACTCTTTTGATTAATTTTGGTGTGAAGTCTATTTTGTTAGATATTCAAAGGTACACCGACTTGCTTCTTAGGTCCATATGCTTGGAATATATCTTTTTATAACCTTTTACTTGAGGTAATGCTTATCCTTAATGTTGAGGTGTGTTTCTTGTATGCAGCAAATGGATGGGTCCTGTTTTCAAATCTATTCTGTTAATCTTTGTATTTTTATTTGGGAATTGAGGCCATTGGTGTTGAGAGATATCAATGAATAATGATTGTTGATTCCTGTTATTTTGTTGTTGTTAAAGGTGGTGGTGGTTGTGTGTATGTATGTGTGCATGTGTGTGCATGTGTGTGTGTGTGTGTGTGTGTGTGTGTGTGTGTGTGTGTGTGTGCTTCCCATCTTTTGGTTTTGTGATGTGAGACTATTTCCTGTGTTTTCACATATGTAGTTAATATCCTTGATTTGGATTTTTTCCTTATAACACCTTCTGTAGGACTGGATTTGTAGACAGATATTTTTTTTAATTTGATTTATGGAATATCTTATTTTCTCCATTATAGTGATTGAAAGTTTTACTGGGTATAGTAGTCTGGGCTGTCATCTGTGGTCTCTCAGAGTCTGCAGCATGTCTTCCTAAGCCCTTCTGGCTTTTAGAGTCTACATTTAAAAACCAGATGTAATTCTAATAGGTCTGCCTTTATATGTTACTTGGTCTTTTTCCTTTGCAGTTTTTAATATTCTTTCTTTGTTCTGTATGATTAGAGTTTTGATTACTATGTGGCAAGGGGACTTTCTTTTCTACTTCAATCTATTTGGTATTATATATGCTTCTTGTGCCTTTATAGGAATTCCCTTCTTTGGGTTAGGAAATTTTTCTTCTATTATTTTGCTGAAAATATTTTCAGGGCCTTTGAGCTGGAATTCTTCTTCCTCTATTCCTATTATTTGTAGAGTTGGTCTTTTCATGGTGTTCCAGATTTCCTAGATGTTTGTGTCAGGAGTTTTTTAGATTTAATATTTTCTTTTACTGATATATGCATTTATTCTATCATATCTTCAATGCTTGAGATTTTTCTCTTCTATCTCTTATATTCTATTGGTGAAGCTTGTCTCTATGGCTCCTGTTCCCATTCCTAAATTTTTCATTTCCAGGACTTCTTCATTTTCTGTTTTCTTTATTGTTTCTATTTTCATTTTCAAGTCTTGAACACTTGCATTTGTTTCTTGCAACTGTTTGTTTTTTCTTGACTTTTTAAGAGAGATTTATTCATTTCCTCCAATTGCTTGTTTCTGTTTTCCTGGATTCCTTTAAGGGGTTTATTCATTTCCTCTTTAAGGACCTCTATCATCTTGGTTAAAACCATCTTGGTAAAAACCATCATAGTTGATTTTAAGGTCTTTTTCTTGTGCTTCAGCTATGTTGGAATATTCAGGGCCTGTTGTGGTGGGATAGCTGAACTCTGGTGGAGACATATTATCCTGGCTGTTATTGACTGTTCTTACACTGCTGTCTATTGTATTATAAAAAGGGCAAGGCAAGAAGCCATGGTGAGTAGAGCCAAGGGGCACAGCAGAAAGTCACTCGCACCATGCAGATGGTGTTCACATGGAGAGTTTTATTAGTAGTGAAGAGGGAAGGGAGAGAGGAGAGGAAAATGGAGCACAGAGCTGCCTCATGGGAAGAGAAAGAAAGAGAGGAAAAGAGAGAGAGAGAGACAAAGAGGCAGAAAGAGAGGGAAAGAGAACAGGCAGGGGGCTAAAGAGAGAAGAAGAGAGAAAAGAGAGAAGGTGAGCAGTGGGCCCACTTTTTATGAGGGGACTTCGTGCATGCACAGAGAGACCATGTAGCAATGAGCACATGATGTTGTCAGGGCCCTGAGCAGGCCAAGGTATTCCCTGCGTATTGGGCAGGCCTCCAAGGGGCAGGTCTGAATGTTAACATTCCTCCCTTTTGACCATTATAAAAAGGGTAAGTTATGGATGGCAGGAATGAGGGATGCCAAATTCTCAAGAATGCTTCCTGCTAGTTTGGATGAAGTGGAGAGGGGGAAGTTGGGAATCAGGGTCATGCACAGTGGGAAGTGTGAGTGAAGGAGCATTCAAATAGCTGTCATCATGGAGACCTCAGGCATCTCTTCCTTGAGGGAACTGAGAAGGCAGATTCCTAGGAGAACAAAAAATAGATTGTTATCATTGGTTCCGTGAGTGGGGCTAGTTATGGGAAGAGTGATAACTGCCAGAAAGCATGGAACAGAGAAGTTCCCTGGTTGTACAGAAGAGGCAAGGGTGAATGAGTGAGACATGAGAGCAGATATGCCCTTCATTGGAACGTCTTGTTAAACCAGATTCTGGTTGCTGGGTAGGTGCCCACTTGAGCCTAGCAGTGAAGTCCCAGGAGTTTGGGAAGAGGGCACACCAAATTGAGGGATGATGTATTCTTCAGGAGTACCTGAGTCATCACATCTGCTGTTTCTCTGGAGGTGGAAAATGCCTCTATTCATCCTGTAAAAGTGTCAACAAAATTGGAGATAATGGAGATTTTATGAGTAGGCATGTGGGTGAAGTTAACCTGCCAATATTCACCCATTTGTCATCCTTGGAGCTGGTACAGGGGCTGGTGTATCTGGGGGACCCCCTGTGGGTTTGTCTTGACATGAGTCTCATGGCAGGGTGGACCTGTGTGGGTATCTGCAAGTTTGTAAAACAACTGGAACAGATTTATATCTTGGTGTCATAGCAAAAGGCTGGGAAGATTCCATACCCTCTCTAATGTGAAGGAGGGAGAGAGCTGTTAACTGGCAAATCTAAAGGTCTCTGGTCATCAAACATTATCAGATCTAAGAAGGATAAGTGAATGAGCAGAAGCATTGTCAAACAGCATCAGAGCTCTGAGATGGATAAATTTTTTCCTGAGTTAGTGATTGAAAGTGACAAAGACTTACTTGCTAGCTGCATAGACAGGGAGGGAGAGAGAGAGAGAGAGAGAGAGAGAGAGAGAGAGAGAGAGAGAGAGAGAGAGAGAGAGCAGGGAGTGCTGAGGAGAGAAGAAGAGAGAGAAGGTGGGCAGGGCCTCACCTTTTATAAGGGAACTTCACAAATGCGCAGAGAGACCACATAGCAATGAGCTCTTGATGTTGTGAGGACTCTGGCCAAGGTATTGCCTGCATATTAGCCAGGTCCCCCCCAAGGGGTGGATCTGAATGCTAGTAGTGTCTAGGCATCTGGGTTTGGGGTGATTATAGGTCTGGTGTTGACTTCTAGGTTTGTCTTGGTCGGGTGAGAGTTTTATTCCTTGGCTTCTGTTTCCTCTGGATTTTCAGAGAGTGTGTTGGCTGAGTGTTGTGCCTGTTTTACTTGGCTCTCTGTTGGTGTGTTCATGGGGTGGGGGTGTAGTTGTTTTTTCTCTTTTACTCTTTTGGGGCTCTCACCAACCAGCTCCCAAATAATTTGCACACAGAGGCTTATTCTTACTTATAAATACCCAGCCTTAGCTTGGCTTGTTTCTAGTCAGCTTTTCTTAACTTTAAATTATCCCATCTATATTTTGCCTCTGGTGTTTTCCTTTCTCTTTCTTCAGTATGCCTTACTTTCACTCTTACTCCATGGCTGGCCATGTAGCTGGGTGGCTGGTCCCTGATGTTCTCCTCCCCTCTCTCTTGACCTTCTTTTCTCCCAGATTTCTCCTCCTATTTATTCTCTCTCTGCCAGCCCCACCTATCCTTTCTCCTCCTTGCTATTGACCACTCAGCTCTTTATTAGACCATCAGGTATTTTAGACAGGCACAGTAACACAGCTTTACAGAGTTAAACAAATGCAGCATAAAAGAATGCAGCACATCTTTGCATCATTAAACAAATGTTCCACGGCATAAACAATTGTAACACATCTTAAAATAATATTCTATGGGGCAGTGGGGCTGTTTGCTGGTGTTGGAAGCTGTGGGAAGGGGAGGCTGTGGAGAGATGGTCCAAGGGATGTACATGGGGCATGGACAGAGGAAAGGGGAAGCTGCCAGTGATGTTCTGTTCCAGTACAAGGGGCAACCCCGGGAATTGGGTCTCGGATAACAGAGGAGTGGGGAAGGTACAAGGGCAGCCTACTTGGTCTTCTGGCAGGCGTGGCTTGTGGTTGAGCAGGGAGTGTCTGCCCGATTTGGGGGATGGTGGTGGGAAGGACAGGGAGAGATGGTTTGTGGGATCCACACAAGGCATGGGTGGGGGTGGGGTGGGAGCTGTTGTTCTATTGCAGTGCTAAGAACTGCCCTGAGAACTGGGTCTGGGGCAATAGGAGTGTAGCAGGTCTGAGGGTGACTGACTTGGTCTCCTGGCAAGTGAATCATTTTCTAATTTAGATGAGCTCTAGGCTTCTTTAGAAAGAAATGGTGTGTGCATGCATGTGTGCATACAGGCTGTTGGCTTTGCTCTCACACACAGACATCATGTTCTTCCCTTAGGTAACACAGCTCTTAGGAAAGATAGAGGCATCTACTTCAGAGCACACCTCAAACTTAAAGATGGTCCAGGGAGATTATCGACATGAAATGAACCTCTTGGAATTCAAGTAAGTAAATAGATGGTTTTTAATTCTGTTCAGTGAATTTCAAAAAGTTTTGTATAATAAAATTACTGGCAATAAATAAAACCTATTCCAGGAATTTGAACCTGGACAAGAAATAAAGTAGCAAATCAACTCAGCAGACATTCCACACTAAGGTAATTTATACAATGTTCATAAGAGAATAAATGTGAATTTTAATTTTAACATAATTAAATTATTTAAATTTCAAATTATTACAGTTATTTATTTATGAAGGTGTACATGGCAATCATAGGATTGATTCTCTCCTTTCATCATGTGGGTCCCAGGGGTCAACTTGGGTCATCAGGCTTGGTGCCAAACACCTTTATCAACTGAGTCATCTCAACAGTCCATGAATATTAATTTTGCTGTTTTCTTTGCATACTGGCAGATATGCAAAACTCACTCTAACACTTCCTAGAACTTAATTTTAATTTTCTACCAATATTATAACAAAATATATCAATGTAAGGTTTTACTGGACACAAATTGATTATGAAAGATTATCTGATGTGCTTTAAAACAATTTTGGTTTATTTATGCTTCCTCCGTGGTCTTGCAGTTGCTACTTTACATTGCCCTTTCTGAAACTGGTCTTTACCCCTTCCAAACTGAATTTTCCCCTACTTGAAAGAGAAAGTAATAAAGAGGATTAAACAAGTGTTTGAATGACTGCCATCATTCTCAAGGCTCCCTTTCTTGTTTAAATGACCATTGTGTCCCAGGAATATAGCACAAAGGAAAATTCTAGCTACATGGATACTCTGATCTTACCATTCTTTGTACCTTGTTCTTTTCCCTTTCTGTCCCAAACTACCTGAAAATACCATGTTTCTCCATTCTCCATATCCCTTTTGTATTCCCACTGACCATAAGAGGCACCATGGTATTTTGTACCTCCAAATCAAAGCTAGGAAAGTATAATGTGCCGTAATGTGAATGCACTTTACTTTCACCATGTTAAAAAGGAAATGTGTGTACCCTAAAAATGATGATAAGTGAGTTATTGCTAAAACTTGGATACAAAGATTTCTCAAGTAAAGGGAGAATATCCATTTCTTCAAATTTATGACGTTTTCAGATTCAGAAGCTCCCATCCAATGAGACTACTTGGTAAGCAGCTATGTGGTTGATCTAATCCCTTTACTTTCAGATTAAGGAAAAGAAAAATATTCAAAGGAAAAGTGAAAGTGCAAACACTTCTATATATACAATTTAAACTGTGAACTTTTGTAGCCACTATGGAAGTTAGCATGGAGGTCTCTGAAAACACTAAAAATAGAAGCACCCTATGAACCTGCTATACCACGCTTGAGTATACACACCTAAAGGGTACTCAGTCAAGATAAACAGGAATGCTTACATGCTAGTGGTTATCACTGCTCTCTTCACAACAGTTAAAAAATGGAATGAGACTAGATCTCCATCAATACATGAAGGATAAAGAAAATATAGTGCATGCACAGTGAAATTTCTTTTGGTCGTAAAGAAAAAATGAAATCATGAAATTTATGGGGAAGTGGAATGGGAGATGATTATGTTAAGTGCAATAAGCCACACACAGAAAGACAAACATTGCATATTTTCTGTCATATGCAAAATCTGTGTGTGCACACATGTGTGAGAATGTATCTGTGTGGGTGTGTGGGTGGGTGTGAGTGTATGTGTGCATGTGTTAGTGTGTGTGTGTGAGTGTGTTTGTGTGTTCATGTGTGTGCATGTGTGAGTGTATGTGTGTGTGAGAGTGTGTGTGTGTGTGTGTGAGAGTGTGTGTGTTTGTGTGTGTGTGTGTTCGTGTGTGTGTGTGTGTGTGTGTGTGTGTGTGTGTGTGTGTGTGTGTGTGCTGTTCAGGTCAGGAAATAGGAAGGGAACAATGATAAGGAGGAAAAGGTGTTCGGGTGTGGAAAGAGAGAGGAGCTAATGGAATCCGGTGCTGTGACAGCAGAAGGAAGACCATTTGGATGGAGGAACGAGACCATAAAGAGGAGGGGAAGAAGAGTGAAGGACAGGCATAAATAAGAAGAGCACGCCTTTAATTCCAGCACTCAGAAGGCAGAGGCAGATGGATCTCTTGAGTTTGAGGCCAGCCTGGTCTACAGAGCAAGTTCCAGGACAGCCAGGCTTACTTACACAGAGAAACCCTATCTTGGAAAACCAAAACCAAAACAAAAACCCAAAATACAATGACATTTAAGTACAAAAATGCCATAGTAAAGCCTATTACTTTGCACATTAACTTTAAGATTTAATTAGCATGGTAAAATAATATTTTCTAGGTCAAAAAATGTATTAAAAAAACTTTATTATAAGGAACTTGCAAATAAAAAAACAGCATACAGTGAAGTTAAGCAGACCCAAAGTCTATACAATCTGAGTGAACTTGTACACAGGCAACTGGTTATAAGTTTGTCTTAAATAGTATTTTATGAGCAGTGTACACAGAGGTCTTTCCACATGCTCTCATCAGAACCGTGCATGCTTCCCTTGTAATGTTTGCAGCCTACCAGACGAAAAAAGTGTGTGTTTTTAATGTGCTCCTCTTCAGTGTTTGAGTTTCCTTTTCTGTGATTTAACTATTCTTAGTTGTCAAATTTTGCATCAAAACTTTAAAATCATGTTCTTAGCAACTCACAGGGTTCCTTACCACTAGGTCTGTTATTGTTTTGACTGAGGTGTATGTTACAAACGCTTTTGAATAAACGCAAAGTAAGGTGGGTTGGCTGTTCACAGCATCTCTGCTTTACCCTTTCGTGTTAGATTTCAGCATCTGCCAAAGCTGCTTTTAAACAACAGGAAGTACTTCTGCAGCTTTCCAAAAGCATGCAGTTCACTGCTGATGTTAGAATGCTGAGACACATACATTTACATTTTGAGTGAATTATGTGTGGATTTTGCTTTTCTCTCTTTAAAAGAAGCAATGTCTCTGAACAAGGGACGTGGCTTCAATAAAAAATATTTTAGTGACTTAAGGCTAAATTTAAATAAGCAACTTCACATTTAGAGACTGTAACAAATTTTTCTGTCAGTTGAACATATTTTAATTGAACTTAGAAGCCTCCATGTAGGGTGTGGGCTTCCTGGTGATGCCTACCATGCTGCCACCTATTACTAGATCTAACAGTAGACACAGCCATGGGAGTTCCCCTCGGAGCCACCTCCTTCCTAAGGCAGCTTAGTCAGCTGTTCAGCTAAGAAATATCCCTAGTGAACAATTTAATGCTTATATGGCAAAACTATACCCATCATGAGAAGCAGCCATCTTTTAATACCGTTTGTCAGGGGCAGTCACTCTCTGAATAGTTCTCACTGCTTAACAGATAGCGATTTGTAAGAAAAGAAAAGGCCATTAGGTCAGTGATGTAAAAGCATGAAGTCCAGTCTCATCACCAAACTTCAAAAATGGTGTCGTGGTAGAACATTGAAAAGTTTCCAAAACAGGGCTGTGTGACACCCATCTTTGTTTACTTAGCACATCACATATTCAAACACAAAAGGAAGCCAATGAATGAATGGGGGAGCTTGAGAATTATATGTATAACTTATCCTAGACACATCCAGGTGGGAAGAAAGCATAGGTAAATGAAAAGCTAAACACAGGTAAAACAAGAGTCAAACAGTGTCGAATGACATAGACAGACATAAAAAACATAGTACTTCTTTACAGAAACCTATCAGGCCCTAGGCCCTCAAGACTCGCAGCATACCCAGCCCTTCACGGCAAGTCTTATCACTAATCAAAAGACAGGACATTTTGGCTGGGTGGTGGTGGCACACGCCTTTAATTCCAGCACTCGGGAGGCAGAGGCAGGTGGATCTCTGTGAGTTCAAGGCCAGTCTGGGCTACCAAGTGAGTTCCAGGAAAGGCGCAAAGCTACACAGAGAAACCCTGTCTCGAAAAACCAAAAAAAAAAAAAAAAGACAGGACATTTTGAATTACTGTGATGAAGTAGTCAGCCCAAATCACACAAGTATGTCTAACTCCAAAGTTACTATCAGTCAAAGCGCTCGCCTTATATTTAAGGCAACTTTTATAGCGCGGTTCGCCCATCGGTTTGCGTCGCGAGCCAAAGTTACTATCAGTACATGATGCCTCTAAGACATTGATTTAGTTTTTCGTTTGTTTATTTGGTCCAGTGCTGGAGATCAAACCCAGGACCTTATACACACTAGAGGGATAATCTAATAACACATCCCTGCCTCTTAACATAAATTAGTTTAAGGGAACTGTACTTAAAGGAATGAACTAAGGAGAAAAAAATATATTTGTTAGAATTAATTTCTTACTTCTGACCTGTGAGGTTCAAAACTGACTCAGTCTTCAAAGAAATAGCACATAGTCTACCATACACATGTAAAAAATATAATTACAAAAAGTGAAAGTATCTTCTATGTTTATAAGTTCACAACAATCCATTGCTTTTTTTCTTCTCTTTTCTTTCTTTTTAATTTTTTAAATTCAATTTGTCAAAGCCACAGTCTGAGTTTTAAAAAAAACTTTGCCGAGCAGTGGTGGCACATGCCTTTAATCCCAGCACTTGGGAGGCAGAGCCAGGTGGATCTCTATGAGTTCGAGGCCAGCCTGGTCTACAGAGTGAGATCCAGGAAAGGCGCAAAGCTACACAGAGAAAACCTGTCTTGAAAAACCAAAAAAAAAAACCAAAAACCCAAAAACAAACAAACAAACAAACAAACAAAAAATCTTCTAAAAACGTTCATTCAATGAATTGTTTAGGGAAAGACATTGCAAAACATTGCATTTGGGGTGTTAGTGGCCCTGGTAACACTGACTCAGAACAGAGCTATGTGCCAACCATAACCAAGGCATCTGCACCACTGACCTCACCACAGCTCTAGCCGGCCACTGCTGTACCTTCAGTTTCCAATTAAGTCTTCCTAGAATTACGCTGGGGGTGAGAGTTAGCCTTTGTTTCATCTACATAAAAATTAAACAAGAACAAAATGAGTAGCTTACATTGTCCTAC